TCATCGCAAATACGCCAAATAGAAAAGCATTTTACATCTTCACTTTAACCTTTACTAAGTGCAAAAAGAATGCTGGCTACACTAAATAATAGTGCCCTTTTGAAGTATTTAATGTTCTGTTTTGTCTTGGAATCTTCTTGCCTCTCTATCTCTTTGACTACTCTTTGTCTAAAGATACTGGTCTAAATATTGTTGCCTTAAAGAACTTTCCTTGATGGGAAGGGTAGGGGAAACGTAATAAGGGAAAGAAAAAAAATAGGAGAAAATGAAAAAATGGAAATAAAATGTTTGTAAATGGAGAGGGGAGGAGGGGGTGAAGGGAGGGTAGGGACAAGGGGAAGAAATGAGAACTAAGACCTGTCATGTAAAGGTAACAAGATCCCAATGATGAATGTAACTGTACTGTATACCTAAAATGTACCAATACACTCAATGAGGAGAAAAAAAAAAGAACTTTCCTTAAGAGCCTAAATGAAATTAAGACCTCTTCGTATACTCTTATCATATGGCTTCTCGTAGTAATTTGAAATTACCTCACTATTTATGCAAATGTTAGCTTAATGTCTGTGAGTTACAGAGAGAGCAGGGCCTGTATCTATTTTGGTCACTGCTGTGTATAACTCCAGGATCCTTCATAGAAGTCTGGTAAGTAAATAGGACTCAATAAGTATTCCTTGAATGAAAATACTGTTGTTATAGCTTTTCCTCATTAGAGACTTTGTTAAGATACAAATGAAAATGATGAGGGGTGAGGAAGTGCCTGAGGAGAAGGTAGATCAGCTTATAATATTATCAGAAACTAACCCTCAGCCAAGTCCCCTGTCCACCAAAGCCTTTGTTTCTTCTTTTCAGTAATAACTGAGCAAACTGGGCTTGAGATACTTTATTCTTTCAATGTAATTTCAGTTTCAGTGGTGACAAATATGTAAGCTCATGTGAATGTGATACATAAATAGATAATTCCCCAAAAGAATGCCTGAGGTGCTCCAAATAAACATATTAAACATTCTTGCCAAGTAAATAATATTATCATTGTGAGCCTCTCTCGTAAGTGTTAGAAACAACCTCTCTTTGATAAGACAGTTTATAAATTCATAAGATACACACTTTCAGTTTTCTAATTGATACATAAAGACAAAAAAACTAAGCAACACGCAAAGGTTCATATGAAATTGTTAGATTTCTTTCAATACTCAGTCTTAATATTTTGCGTCCTACATTTTATTGCATCTTATGGAGAAAATCAAAATAACATAAAATCAGGAGAGGGGAAACATATGGGATAAATGTACAAAAACTAATATGACAGCTTCTTGGTTTCTTATATTTGGTTCATGCTAAAAGTTTAAAAAATCACTTACACAAAATTATACATAGCTTATTAGGAAGTTATCACTAGTTCTGGTAAATCTGTCAACTGTATTAAACAATTACTGTTATTTGGTTAATATTAATTGGTATAATAGAGATTGCATGGGCAGATAGATATCCATCAAAACAAAGTATTACTATTTAATGCAGCAATATAATATTTGGAAGTACTTGACTTTCATACAGAATTAATCATAAATATTTTACTACTTTATTATGATAGCTCAGATTTCTGCAGCTACTCAAGTTAGATACATTGCAAAGCTCATTCTCTAATGAGATAGCCTGTTTGGTTGTTAAGTTGTTCATTGTGAAAAAAAATAGTAGAAAGAACAAGGGATTTGGAGTTGGGGGCACTTTAAATTGTTTCCATCACATTATCTGTGTAGTTGTGGGTAATCAAAAACTCTGGTTCCTTTTCTGTAAAACAGTTGAATCCCTTGGGAGTAGTACAAAGATTTAATGAAGGATCACATCTCACATGGAGAATTTAGCATAAAGTAGAGGCTTAATTGTTCTTTCATCCAGTTGCTTTAATTTATTTTGGGGGGGGGTACCGGGGATTGAACTGTATGCCAGGTACTGTTATAAATAGGGACGGACTTCACATGCAGTCTTTCCCCTGTTGGTGATGTATGTAAGTAGTGCTGTCATTTTCACTTCTACTTTCTGTCGTAATACTGAATAAAACCAATTCTGTTAACACCCCTTCAAATATTTGAAGACCACTTATTTGATTTTATTAAGCATGTGCAATTTTTATCAGACAACGTTGCTTTCATCTGTATCTGTATACAGGTCCCCCCCACCTAAAAATGTATAGCTCCAAAAATGCACGCCATAAAAATAGACATTGATGTAAGACAACTAAAGTGAATATACAAATTGATACTGAAGGATTCTCAGTGCCTGGAGGATTTAGGTTTGCATTAATTCTTTCAGTCACCTGTTATATTAACAGCTCATGTTAAACTCTTGGGTACATAACACACTCATGAATAGCTTCCAAGTCAGCATTTCCCCATTTGTTTGTTGCGTGTTGAACTGGATGAAACTAAATGGAAAGATTTATATTTATCCTTGTCAAGTTTCATTTTAATTTTAGTTTATTTCTCCTGGATTTCTTCAACCAAAGATTTTTATAAGTATAAAATTTGTGGTTTTTGTCTCACACATAATAAAATAAATAAGGCTAAGCACAGAGTTCCAAAGTTTGCGCCTAAAGACTTTCTTTCCTCTTTTAAGTTGACACATAGTTTCCCAACTCCGCTAACTCCCAATGCACTTGAGCAACATATTTGCACGTAGGTGGAAAGCCATCCCAATACTGTTTCTGTAAGAATACACCTGCCCCTACTTCCAAACCCTTGTGCATGTGCAAACACAGTGGCTGTGCTGATTAGTGATTTGGGGCAAATCTTTTAACCTCTGAACTTCCGTTTCCTCAACCATAAAATGGGTTGTGAGGTGGGTCGCTGGGGTGGCGAATGCTTATAATCCCAGCACTCAGGAGGCTGAGGCAGGAGAAACGCTGTGAGTTTGAGACCAGCCTGGGCTACTTAGTGAGTTCCACGTCAGTCTCAACTACATAGTGAGACCCGGTCTCAAAAAACCAAAATAAAAAAAGAAAAGAAAAAAAAAGTTGTGAGGATTAAATGAGATAATACAAAGTGCTTAGAACGTTGGCAGGTAGTGAGAGTTCAGTAGACCTAAGCTATTATGTTTTCTTTTATCTAAGAAGTCTAATGCTTGCTTTTTTCCAAGTGAAAGTGTAATGGACTTGTCATTACTTTTGTGTTAAATTCAGGCTGATATTTAATGATCATAATATTCTCTAGTTATTCACAAACCATTTGTTTCATGATCTATTCTCAGATTTGTCTTAAAGATTTACTAGTTTATCTAATTTCTGAAATTTGTTCACCCATTGCTCTATCCCTCAGTCTTGAGGAAACCCTACCTATCTCTGGGTCATGATCTCATACTCACATACTGAAGTCTTTCTCCAACATTTTTGAAGTCAGATTTGTGACAATGCTTGCTCAGTGCTTTAGCTGTATGGGACTGATTGTATCTGGGCCCCAAAACTTGAACTTATAAGATCATTTCAGTCTCTCATATTCATGAAGCCCAGGTTTCAGTTCTCAGTGCCTATCTGCAACTTTATTTAAAACTTAGAGAAGGTAAGCAAATAGAAGTTGACCAATTTTGTCTCTGCGTGCTCTCTCGACCTTAGCAACATCCTTTCTGAGCAGTGATTCTCAGTTCCTTGTTCTTTTTGAGAATTAGTATGTTATTGTGGAGACAGTGCTGGGTAACAAAGTATGAAATCTGAGTTCTGATTCCCACTCCACCTCTTCATAGCCATGTGATAAGTTGCTTTACCACCTGTGCTTTAGTTTACTCAGCTGCAAAAATAGTAGTATTTCCCTGCCAACTTTCAAAGAGGTATCAAGAGATAAAGTATGTGAAACATACTTTAAAAACTACCAAGTGCTGTACAGTTTAGTGATGTACTTGAAAGTAACTAAATGCTTTTATCTTTAACCAGATTTTTTTTCTGAGCTTTTCTCATTTTAATACCACTACATTTGTATTTTTGCTGTTCTGTCAGATTCATCTTAATTTAGCCCCCATTAACTTCTTTGCAGAGAACCACTCAACAGTCACATACAATGCTTTACTTTTTCATCCTTGGAATTCTCTGTGGGTACACAGATAAAATGTAGGATTCATCTCTTGTAAGTCATTTCACTTGGCCCTGTAGGATCCTAATTTCATACCCTTTTTTTAAAACTGTTTTCACTGTAAATATTGTCCTCTTTCTTGCTATTAGAGATCGCTTATGATGAGGTCACTTTCTCCTAAGTCCATATCATAGATAGGTCTACTTTCTAGTTTGTTTATTTTTGGGTTTTTTTTTTTTTTTTGGTACCAGGGATCGAACTTGGGCCCCTGCACTTGCAAGGCAGGTGACGGCACCACTGAGCTAAATCCCTGACAGTGTGTTTCCTTTCATACTTCTTTGATGGCCATATAACCTACTAGCCCTCCTGCTTCCTCAATCTTCTAAAAGAATTTATCAATAAAGCAAATCAAGAGTCATATTTTGGTAGAACTGAACTTTTAAGATAGATTTTTAAAGAATACTCTATAGTAGGAAATTATTATGCATATTTATATGTCTAATGATATCAGTTTTACTTTTTGCCCTTTCTGTGTTTTTTTGGTCGTAACTCAGTTGTATAAAGTGGAATAAAAATGTTTTTGGTTTATTAACTTAAAAGTTTTTTCTTCAAGTTTTTATGAGTTACTAATACCAAGAATATTTTTTTCAAGCAGGAGGCTCTGTATGAGATTATATCTGTAGTAAAAAATGATTCTGAACAAAAATGGCTACCCATTAGGATATAATAGTGAAATATGAACATTTAGCCAAAAATTATCATTTAAGGGCCAGGGGTTTAGTTCAGTGATGCCACCACCTGCCTTCCAAGTGCAAGGTCCTCAGTTCAATCACTGGTACTCCCCCCTAAAAAATTATCATTTAAAAACTACAGGGATTCTTATATTTTTAAATTGTCAAGTGAATATAAAATATTAAAAACCATTTTAAAAATTCCTTCTAGGCTGACAGCGTTTCACGAAGCATCAACCTTTCTTGATGGACCCATTCATCAAATAAAATATGCTTGTACTATTCGTAAAAGATTATTATTTCATCATAGAAAAATTCATCCCGAAAATGAGATTTAACGGGGTGATTTAAGTAGTGGATATTTAAGGTATCCCATCAAATCATTGAACGAATGGATAAATATTAAATAGATTAATGCCAAACACTGTTTTTCACCCAGGAAGATTTTATCTTGAGAGAAAAAGAACTTTGTTTTCTGAAATGAAGAGTGAGAGACAAGAAGAGACTTCAGAGAGGTGAAGATATTAGTAAATAAACAATGGCAATTGTTATTCTTGTGAAGATAACTCAATGATGTGAAATCCTTCACAGATCCATGATTTTGGTCCTAAGACATCCTTTTTTTGATGGGACTCATTAAGAGAAGTAGGACCTTTTCATTCAAACCACAGTGACAGAATTTGTAATCATTGGCATGAATGGCTTAATGCAGGAAATAAGCTTTGATCTAAATCCAAAAGTGCGGTCATTTTTGTGATGCTCTTATTTTGAAAACCTCTTTATAACCATTTAAAAAGAATTGACAGCTATTTTTAAAGATTAAAGAAAGGCAGATGTCTGCAAATAATTCCCCTCCATCAGCCCAGAAGTCTGTTTTACCTGGAACAAGTCCTGCTGTGCTTCCAACTTCTTCTCCGGGTTCAAGTCCTAAGACAGGATTCTCTGCCCGACTCTCTAATGGCAGCTGCAGCGCACCATCTCTCACCAACTCCAGAGGCTCTGTGCATACAGTTTCATTTCTACTGCAGATCGGCCTCACACGGGAGAGTGTTACCATTGAAGCCCAGGAACTGTCTTTATCTGCTGTCAAGGATCTTGTGTGCTCCATTGTTTATCAAAAGGTACTGTACAAGCTATTTATATTAATCGTTTTTCTAATTAATAGTTTGATGCTTCTGTATAATACATGTTAAAAATGAGTTAACACATGGATCCATCCATAATTCATGTCCCGATTATGAATGTTTGGAAGCATTTGAACAGACTGTGAATGGAAAGTCTGAAATTTCAGAATCAAATTGGAACCTATGGTATATCCTAGATTGAAACTATCACTTATCCCAGTATTAAAATACCAACCTTTTATCCCTTAAAAACAGAAGAATCTGTAAAGTCAGGGGGACATAAGAAATCTTAATTGTTACCAGAGAAAAAAGGAGGTAGAAGGACATAAGACAATGAGAAAGGTGCCTTACCAAAAAGTTGGGAACCATCAGTAGCCCAGCTCCACACCTTGTGTTGCTAGGTTCTCTATGTTTTACCTTCTCTTTTAGATTTCCCTTGCATTTAGATTCTTACTATTTTTCAGAGACCAATCTATTTAAACTACCATTTTAATCTAGGAGCATAGTCTCCTCCTAAAAAGGTAAATCAATTTTGAAAGCATGACATATTTGAAAACTCAGAGTGGCTTTCTTTTGTTTCCCATCTGTCTATCTCTTACCCTATATCTTGGCAGTTTTTAAATAATTTAAGCTAAATAGCTTTAATCCTGACTTGGTGGATGAGCTAGTATGTTTTTTATTTATTATGAACTATTTATATGGGTTATATGAATTGGTTATATATATGTCTCATTTTGTTTCAAGCAGATTTTTAAACTTTTTGCTTTTAAAAATTGTTTCAGATTAATAGATTTGAATTTAGATTATTAATCTATTTCTGTTCTAGTTCCTTGTGCTTTATTAATGTTTGTCATTATCTTCTGATTTAAAAGCAATTACCAATACAGAAATGTCATTCAGTTTGAAAATGACCTATAACCTGTGGTGTTTTAACAGTGACTTATTTATGTTAATGTTACCTAAAATAAGAACAACTACAGTACTTTTACAGGTCTGTAGAACCATCTTTTGTTATCTTTGCTATTAGTTTCCCTTTCATTACACTTTACAGAGGTTTTTCATACTTTACAACTAGGTTGTAACTTTTTATTTAACTTGTATTTAAACTTCAATGTAATATGGGACTTAAATGTTATGTTTCTTTTTATTTGAAGTCTTAGAAACTTGTAACCAATATTTTGGTGAATCTGTTATTTTCATTCTGGAATTTTTAATTGTTTTCTAATTGATAAGAAAATTGTATTTATCGTGTATAATGTTTTAAAATTTTATATATATATTATGTAATGGCTATATTGAGCTAAAACTTTGCCTTTTTTTAATTGATAAGAAAATTGTATTTATCGTGTATAATGTTTTAAAATTTTATATATATATTATGTAATGGCTATATTGAGCTAATTAACTTTGCCTATTTATATCAACGAATTTACTTATTAGATGCATACTGATTTTTTTTTTTTTTTGCAGAATTGTACATTAGCTATATTATTTAGTGGGTGACTTTGGCCAAGTGACTTTAATTTTCTGAATCACAGTTTGCAGATCTGTCAAATCATTGAGTTTGAATGATTTCTAATATGTAAATCTCCATGTAAAATTCTAAATCATTTAATCTGAGTTTGAGCCGTCATTGTTAGAGGAAGACAAATGAAAAAGGAGTCTCAAGAGGTGGATGGCCTTTTTAGGTTCTAACTGGAAGAAACTTAAGGGAACAGCTTAGATTCTGGAATTTTATAGAATGCCTTCATGAATTTAACCTGTCTGAGAAATGAAAAAACTATGTCAGAAGTTCTTTTCTTTTTACCTTCTCTCTTCTCTTTGACAGCTTGCTTACCAGTCATCCATTTTCCTTGCCTATACATGTACAGCTCCAGATTAACTTCTAGGACTCCGGAATAATTAGTTGAGTGATATTTGGAGATTATTTTTAATCTCTCAAGAAAAATGTCATTTGAAAAAAAAATGATAATTTTGATGCCATGCAAAGGAAGAGTCTTACCTTTCTAGTTAATAGAAATGATTCCCCCCATCAGTGAACGCCCCAAATTTTTAAAATAATGAGGATAGTTTACATTAATAATAACTACCTTATTGAGTGATTATTATATACTTAATTCTGTCCTTGCCACTTTATAAGTATTTCATTCATTCTTCACAGCCTCACTGTTTGAGGTGAGTATAATTATGTATAAGGAAACTAAAGCACATAGGGATTAAGTAATTTTCCAAAGTATGTAACAATAAGAATTCAGAGCTCATGCATTACATTGTGTTCTGACCATATTATCTTTCTATTATCACACATTGCACATTTATAAAATGCCTTCTAATTAAGTATACAGTACATTCAGTAACCACAGAATATAGTTCTATGACAACTTAACTGCCCGTGTATACTGATCCCTGCTATAATAAACTAAAGTAAATGGTTCTTCATAAGAATTGACATTTAAAACTCTAGAAGGTACACTAGTACATAACATATAACTACATGATTTGATTTCACAGATATATCTACTCTTTTTTATTTCTGTTCTTAGTAAACTTAATTATTGAGACTCTTCAAAACATATAGCACTGGTTGTTTTAGGAAATAGATTAATCATAAAACAAATAATATAGCAAGGGAAACATGTTCACCAGCATAAAACATGATAATTAGCAAGTGAAATTAAGTTTTTCACAGGTTGATGAAGAATGTAGAAAGCTTTACACAGACAGTAACATTAATCCTCATACCTAAAGTATGTGTGAGATTTCAGTAATTTGGGAGGTGAGACATATATTCCAGGCAAAAGAATCAGGATGAGCAGAGATTTGGAAAGGGGAAAAGGGAATAGGATAACATTTATTGACTACCTACTCTGTGCCAGGAACTTTATAAACGTTCAGCTTAATTCATAACGAAAGTCTATGGTAAATCTCAAACTTAATTGTCTGGGAATCTAGAAACATTTTGAATCAGTGGGTTTGTGTGGGTGTACATTTCTAACGTATTACCTGGTGATCGATGCTCCTTTCACACAGACCATACTGAACTGCAAGGGTATAGGTGGTCTATATTCAGTGAAAGGAGGAAATTGGAATTTCAGAGACCTTTAAATTACTTGCTAAAAGTTAGATTTTAAACAAAGGTCAACCAACTCAAAGACTTATATACTGTTTTTCTATACCATCTTGCCTTCCTCATGGCAGTGAAAAGTTTCACACTTGATTCTTCCAAGGGTAGAGATTTAATTAAGGTCTTTGTTGCAACAAAGTGTGGTGTTTTGGAAAACAAACGTGCCTGTTTTGGAAAGTTTAAATATGGAAGCGGAGTGTGAGATGAAGTAGAAAGACCAGATAAGAAGTCATTGTAATGATAAATTGAGACATTTGGAGAGTGAAGAAGTATTGAAAGGTTATGGAAAAAATAACTTTGGTAATACTTGACATTCTGTTGAATATGAACACGGGAAGAGCAAAGGGTGAAAGGCGGGCTACTTTAGTTGTTGAATGAGTGGCAGTGCTGGTGAGCAACGTCAAAAATTTAGAAAACATGTTCAAGTTTTCTGGCGGAGATAATGGAATTTATTTTTATCAGACTTAGATTGAGTTCCTGTGTTCCGCAAATGATTAGAAGAGTTAAAAGAGTATTCTTTCACCTAAGATTTTGTGTAGGGATATTGGGACCCTTTTGCTTTCCCTGACTCTTGCAATATAGTAATTCTTCAAGAAAGACCATCCCAGCTCATTTGTTGTCAAAAAAGGTTAAAAGATGATGAAAAGATCTTTCAGTTTGGAGGACCTGAGAAGAGACCATTAATAATGAAATAAGTCCAAAGGCTCACCTCACTTTGCAAATTAGGGGAAGGATGACTACTTGTCTTATAAATTTCATTTTGATGATATTTAAGATTTTTGAAAATATATTTTTAATCTGCTAATCATATTAGATGTAGGTTACATGTATGTTTTTGCTTTCCAGTTACTAGAGTATTAGTAATAATTAACCAGGTGAGAGATTAAAATGTGTGATCTCAGATATTAGAGAGTGTAATTTGTAAGATTTTTTAAAGTACCATTTTAGTGATCCAAGGTGGAAATTGTGGCATTATTTGAAGTATTTCATAGCTATTCCTTCCCCAGCCCCCCCAAATGCTTTTTTTGGTGTGCATAACGATTCCCATCATATATAGATAACAAAATACAGAGTAGTGTAGACTCTGCTGTCATATTGTGTATTATATGTATACAAACTGACATATATGTGCATGTATTACATATACAAAAAATATTTAAACATTTTAAAAACTGATCTATACGGAATGGTTATTATTTTGAGTAAGATTAGATTTTTATATTGATTTATTTTCTGATTATTTACACAGAAATGTGTCATATACATACATTCAGTATTTTTTCTCCCTCAAGTTCCACTTTTATAAGGTCTGCATTTTAAAATTCATATTTGAGATAGTTTATTATAAATCTTACAATTTAAGTTCATGAGTCTGATGAGTTTTAACAGCTGTGTATACAGTTGTGTGACCACTGATCATTCAAATTATAAAGCATTTCTGTCATCCTGTAAATCGCTTTTCCACTTTTGCAGTCAGTCTCTTCCCTTCACTCCTGGCCCTGAGCAACTACTGCTCTGCATTCTTTCAGGATAATCTTACATCTTCTAGATTTTCACATAAATGAGATTATACAGTGTGTGGTCTTTTTTTTTTCTTTCACCTAGCAGTGTTTTCTTGGAATTCATTCATGTATTTGTGTTTCAGCAGTTCCTATTTAATGCTGAACTAGCTCATTTTATGGACTTAACACAATTTGTTCATGAGTGACATTAGAGCTGTTTCTATCTTGGGCTGTTATGCGTAAAGTTTCTGTCAACATTCCCTTATAAATCTAATGTAAAATGTTTGTATTTCTCTTGGGTACTTAGGAGTATAACAGCTGGGTCATATGATAGGTGTATATTCATGTAATATTAACAAACTTTTCCGAAA